CACTGCTTCATTATATCATCTCCTAAGTTTTGAATCCTCTATTGTCCCATGATCTTCCTTATTTCATTCCTTTCAAAACAAAGTCCACTCTGTTTAGTGTCACCACCATTGATATTGATACTGTATTATTATCTTTACTACTTTGCAATCGTTTTGTTGATTTCAGTGCTGATATAGTGTAATAACTTGCACTGACCCATACCTATGTCGGATTATAACTGACTGATAAACCAAATGTTATTCAGTCTTCAATTGCATGAGGGCTAATGATAGTACCTGACAGATCCAACCGAATTAAGTAAAGCTAAGTCTAAAGTGATCACAATGGCGTCGGTGTATACACTGTCTGTCTTCCCTTAAACTAAGAGATTAAAATCGCTTCATATCTTTCTTCCTACGATTTATTTATTTATTTATTTGAACACATAAATATTGGTACAAGAGAGCGCCAAATATATATGCGCCACAAAATGCAGAGGGAGGACGCCAGGTGGCACGTCGGCGATGACTGTGCCGAAAGTTAGTGCTAGCCAGAAACAGGTTGTGGTCTGTGCAAAGTTGCAGTAGACGGTCCCTGTTATCTGACCTGCGACCAACGAGTCCCCATCGGCCACCTAAACGACTCTCTTCTGTGCCTAGACGCCCGACCTGAGCATCCAAGTCTCCGGCTAGTACCACAATATCTGTCGAACGCACTTTCTGGAGAAGAACAGATAATTGGTGGTAAAACTCATCCTTGATTGCATCCGGGCTGCAATCTGTCGGGGCATAGGCGGAGATGACGAAAAGACATCGTTTCTCACGCCGATTTCTTCTCACTTTGATGGAACTTTCTAATCTAACAGCACATAACCGACTGTTAATGGGGATCCAATCGACTAGTGCTGCCTCAGCTCTAGCGCTTAGTGCGACACCAACGCCAGCAAGACTAGACGAAGATGCCACAGGGTCCCCGGATAAGCGCACGTAAAACATGCTTTTTGAAGTGACAGATGGAGATCGAATTTGTAGTACTTCGCTAGAGTCTTGAATACGGGTCTCGGATAGACAGCGGTCATCGATATTAAGACTTTCCAAAGACATAGCCAGCCCTATCTGTTGTCCGACCTGCATAAGTGTGCGAACGTTGAAGGCAGCCAGTTTGAATGGTGCACGTGGTTTCAGAAAATCTGCTTCAGTCCTCGTATTCGGTGGTAACATACAATTTTTAACCGGACAGTGACTCGATAACGTTTAGATACAGTCGGATTTCCACCAAAGACGAGCCGCTGTATAAGTATAAAAGAGGGTGAATAATGTGGAAAATAATAATAATAATGACAATAATAGTAATAATAATAATATTAATAATGACAATAATTGTAATGATAATAATTTGAATCAATTGATTGTTCTTCGAAGCGAGAAAAGTAATTTCCATAGGCATAGAGAGTTCATCAATTTGTGTGTGGGCTGTGATACTGCCCGGGTGCCCAAACCGAAACAGGTGGTTATCCTAGGGGGCCACTCCCCGAGCTTTTGACCTAAAGGTCTAACCCACAAGGCAGTGGAGCATCGTAAGGAGATGCAATCCCATGGTAGCCGGTGACCAACGATTGGTTCATACGCCATTTGTTCCCGCAGGATACTGGAGCCCATGTGCACCATTGGTTTGTGATCCGGTTAAAGCGCCGGACATTCGCTTTTCGTCCTCTCATTTTCGTAAACAACAGTAATGCCACGAGAAGGCAATGAGTAGGACTTCCCTGGCAGAGGCTGTATACGCGTGGCCATGTGAGAGTATTTCGAGAGGGAGAGCGGACTCACCCCACTCTCGGCCGTACCAGGGCATTCGGGGGCTTCTTTCTACGAACTAATTCTTTCTTCCTGTACCATATTCTTATTGCAATCTTTCTTTTATATATCACCACCATTGAATTAACTATTCTTGTGAATCCGGTGTCCATCTTGTTGTGTTAATAAGATATGGCAACTTGGACCGATGCAAATATGTGCCTGGTCCTACGTTGTAGCTGACTGACTGACTGAAGCTAAGTCTAAAGCAACACTCCAGTCATTGTATATTAAGTGCTTTAAAAATTGACCCATTCGTAACTGATATGAATATGGACATTGCTATTAAATTTCCAGATGATTAGGCTATTATTAATATGTTAAGTATGAGATATGAAGGCTTAGTTATTTATTTGTCTTCAGGTAAGTATAATAACTCTCAACTGTTGCTGCTACATCGACGTGGTGGTCAGGCTCGCCTGTCGTGATGACTCAGCCGACCTATATTGGCTAGAACACATGTTCATTTACGTCTTACCATATCAGGCAGGTCGGTTGAAGAATGGTAAGACTGCGAACAGCAAACCCAATGGCGAAGTCGTACTGCTGACTGTACAGTTGTGTGACGGCATTAAGGTGTTCCCCTCAGACAACCAGCATGACAATGATGCTGCCTTCCCACAGAAATGCACACCTCGCCTTATCTTATGGATTTCCAACTCCAGCGGTAAGGTCACAACAAGTACGGAGCTAACATGAAAACCTCCCACAAAAATGTCGTGTGACTGGTCTCAAGCAATTGTCCCTTGAAAATACAGTTACGCTCTTTGGTCATTAAGACAAACTAACCCAATTTGTTTTACATGTATCTCTAAAAGAACTCTTCCACGGTGTGGGCAACCGAGAATTGATAACCACTCTCATACCTGTAACAACATTCAAGACCACTGTAACAATAACTCCTAACTACGCTTCGATAACTGGGTACCATAATTTTTGTCCTTCCTAACCCTAATTATTTCAAAAGATAAGCTTGAAAGAAAACTTTATTGTTAGAGATTAAGTAAGACTGATTCAAGCATTATATTACAGTTACAGGAACTCTCAGAAAAGAGTGAAAAATTCCAAGCACTAAAGATACAGATCAATATGAAAACAGCACCTTTTATCACGATGAAGAATAACTTTCGTGCAAAAGTTTCACGTGTAAAAAGAGACATGAATTCAAATTTCCAAAATAAGAATCAGTAACATTGTCAACATTGATTCTAAGAATGAATCGAATTTCAATTTCTAGAGAAAAACTTTCTAACGATTCACATCATTGTTATTTTTTTGTGAAATAAATAAATAAGACTGGAAATTACAATTTGATACGATCAATAAGCAAACAACAGTTTTACACTTCAGTGTAGTTTAAATTAAAACATGTTCAATTGTATATTAATATACTTGGAAACAAAACTCAACATCATTAAGACGTCCATATGTTTCTTGTTTAAAAATAAAAGTTAAAAACTCACATTTAGAACTTAATTTTTACTATCGACCAATATGAATGTTATAATGCTCGGTTTTACTTTGTCTAATGTGATAACGGTTAATTTTTCCACATTTACATGTATGGAACGTTAATTTACTTAAGACGAATATCTACACTAGATTCCATCCCAGTGTCTTGAACACAACTCAGATCAAGAACAAGTGGTTAGCCACAACGTAAATATATTTCCACAATAAAAACCTGACACAATCTAACAACAATGAACAATCAATAATAAGTGATAATAATAAGGATAGGGGAATATATAACTCATTTGACACACCTGTCTGACTATGCAAACAACCAATCATTATCATCTACGCTCACACATCAATGAACTAGCATAATATTGAAAACGTAAAAAATCCTAGACAACAATCAGCTACTCACTGATGAAGAGGGCACAGTAACCAACATGATAGGGGACACAATGTACATGTGTATCAGCATCAAACTACTCAATAACCACTAGTGGATATGTTGGACTTTGCCATTTAGTAATATGCAGAAATGATTGGTGCTATCAATGAGTTCGCTTACAATATTCATCAAGGCAATGTAATGTTAAGTTAATAATGTGAACAACCAGAGCCAACGATTTAACGACGTCAAGCTAAGATCGAGAAGTGAATGTTTTAAAGTCGTTCTGGTGTAAGAACTTCACTGTCTACTGCTGAGTACCAAATAATGACGAAATAGATTTACTCGTACTGTAAGAAGATTTAATCGATAATGCGTTGCAATTACAATTTCGTCAGTAGTTTTATACAATGCGAAATGTACCCAAAATGAATTCATCCCAGCAATATATGAAATAAGAATTTATTTGCTTCATAATGATCTGTAGTTTTGTTAACGAAAATTATTTTTAAAATAAATAATTCTTTAACCTAAAATACCAATGGAATTTGACGGTGCATCACGGAAACCTACTCAAATATTCAAGACAGTGATCGCCAGCTCTTCGTCCAAGAGCTCGCGCGCGGAACCAGTAGGTCCTGGGTTCGAATCTCGCAGAGGGCGAGGTCATGGATGCGCACTGCTGAGGAGTCCCACAATAGGACGAAACGGCCGTCCAGTGCTTCCAGGTTTTCCATAGTAGTCTAGCTTCAACTGACTCATCATCTTAATCATTGAAATTACTATAATATCCACAAAACCCATCTGATAAAATCAAACTGTCAACATGTTGCTTCTGGTTTTTCATAGCTGTTTTACATTCAACAATAAACTTTAAAGCTTTGGATAAGCAAAAAAATCTACGATATATAGCACTCATATCATATTCTTATCTCGCCTATCAATATTGGAAACCTATAACTACTCTCATCGTTGAACATTTTAAAATGGATCTATTTCTTACATTTTAATGAAGATATTTGTTTACTTGGGTTTTGATAGATCGGATACTGATAATTATTAGAGTAAAACAATAGAATTGTCAATTAAATCCCTTAATACTCAATAATGATCATGAAATATGTGCGCTCTTCATTAAACAGTATCTATTGTTCAACAAACAATTGACTAACTGTCAACACAAAAGTCATCAAGTTTATTCATAAAAGAGTGATTATGAATAACGAAACTGGATTAATCAACCCAGAGAACTGCAACTACGGTCAGTAACAACGTACAACTTTGTACTTACGTACATCAGTTCGAGTTGCCATACCACATTAGCACAGAGATGCAGTTGTCGATTCAACTGCAACTACAACAACTTGAAATCTTATCCATCCACCATCTTATGATTTTGTGAACCAACCAAAGGCATTTTGAATAAATACATTTTTTTTTACATTGATCGCAATAAAACGAATATGGATATATATATATATATGGATGTTTGCATATATCAAAATGGTACATAAGAAAGAAGAGATTGACTAGTAATGAAAAACAAACAAACAAATACCAGCTACAGTAGTGAGAGAAAAATTGTTCCAAGCGATATAACACACAAGAAGAAAAAAACACGCTCCATTAGATTACAGTTAACAAGAACTTCTTTTATTCTTATAGGTAACATTATTGTTAAGATTGAAAATGGTTCTATTTTGTTCATAACATAGGTTTATTATTCATTGAATTCACTTGTTATTCCGATCTGTGCAAATATACACAAGCACATCGATACAGTTGATAGAACAAAGGTGATTAGGTTGATTTTCTTATCATGAGAAAGTAAAAACGTTCAAATTGATTGACCACTTACATATAAAGATTGATAGTGAAATAAGGAAGTTTCTTTTTCTTATTTCTTGTAATGATTATCCTCAATTATTTGACCAGGAATTTCATTGACAATAGATAGAGTTAATGATGATAAAGAACAATGAGAATATGTTACCTATAATGATTGTGCGTGAATTAGCTTGCATGTGTATATATATAGTGAAGTGAATAAGATAGAAGCATAAACTATATAACCGTCCTTATTTTTACTCTCGCAGAGAACACATATGATAGAAATGATAAATAGATGCACACAAAAAAACGAACAAACAATTTCCATCAAAATATCAGAATTTACGAAAATGACAAAGGTTTATGTATATATATATAAGATATTGTTTTACTGTGTACACCACATATAACGAACGATTGTATAATAATTAATTCTCACATACATATACTCTTAACCGTCGACTATACGGTTATAAAGAGGTCGGAATTATTCCTGATGTATTCCTGTTGGAAAAAAGAGGAGAAAAAAAATTGATTTTCAACAAAAAAAAAATAATAGAGCAAGCAGGTTGGTCAAGAATATTCTTCCGAACTATATGAGAATATTGAAAAATGTAAGATATGAAAATACAGTCAGTCAGATACAACGTAGAATCAGGAATATACGTGCATTGGTCCAAGTTGCCATACCTCATTCGCACAACAAGATGAACACCAAATTCATAGAAGTAGTTAATCCAATGGTAATAATATATAAAAGAAAGATTGTATATAATGATATAGTACAGGAAGAAAGAAAGATATAAAGCAATTTTAATCTCATAGTTGAAGGGAAGATAGAGAGTGTACACACCTACGCGATTGTGATCGATTCTGAGCCATGTCACCCACGGGCAACAACCATTGATTACGATAGTGATGCGGACCCCAACCAAGTAGTCTGCATCTACCAACATCGCTCAGACTAGAAGTTAGTGACTTCAAACACTGATGCTAATTTTTGGTTTGGCTGCCCCGAACTTTCTTCCAACCATCTCCAACACCAGTCAGCATTGCGCGACGTGGTAATCGGTGTTCAAGCATATGTAACACGTGGCCTGCTAAATTCACAAATATTAACTAGTCACTTCGATCGCTTACAGTTCATGTCTTCTTAAGTTCCTAATTATTCGATTTTTGCGAATACAAATCAGCAAGCCACTACCTGCCTACACAGAATAAACCAGGAGTCAAACACTTAAAAAGACAAGTTATATTTAGCTACCACTAAACGTTTTAGAACCCTCTTTTGTGTTGGTCACGAAAAGTATAAGAGGACAGTAACATAAAAATCCAATAAAAAAATATGTTGTTTTAGAGCAGATACCTGAATTCCAATTTTTGCTAGGATTGACCACATTATTCATTGCGAAACAGGAGTCTCCGAAATTCGAACTAATAACAGGGTTGTAATACACAGATTCATTTGTATGAATTCCACTGCCAGAAACATTTGTCAAAGGTTCAATAACGGGAGTAGCTGAAGGAATGTTTACTGATCTAAGCATTGAAGAAGCAATCTGAGAATGATTCGATGTCATAAAACGACCAAATTCTAATGAAGATTGATTAACTGGCTGAGGAGATAATTGCATAGAATGTGGTTGATTTTGTAATAGACTATCGTTGGCAACTGCTAAAGGGATTGTTTGAACAACATTTGGAATTGAACCAGTGGCAGCAAGAAATCCAGTCGCTTGATTCATTGTATAAACAGGACTATTTCGATAATTTATTTGTCCGCTATTATTATTAGGCATACCAACGCCACCGACAACCGCAGCCGCCGCTGCAGCCAATGATATAGGATTACCATTATTGACCATAGTTTGTGATTGCATCTCCATTTGTTGTTGTTGTTGTTGTGCACACAGATTAGCATAATATGTCTCCGTCGGTGAACGAACATGTGAACCAGGCGGTGGTGCTGGAGGATATCCATTGTATCGAAAGTGTGGATTTTTCAAATCTAAACTATTAACAATCTATGATTGATGATAAACAATAATAAACAATGATAGATAATAATTTAATGTGATGATAATTATAATGTTAAATATATATGATGAGATTATAATTTATGGATGACGTTTGTGAGATATACTAAGGTGACCTTGAGAAACTTCACTTCCCAAGATCAAAATAAGGTTATGAATCAGTGCTAGAAATCAGAGAAAGGGTTTTTATCACCAAATCACATCAACTCTAATGTAAAAATGCTATTCATTCAGTGATATGAATGAATGAATTGCGAGAAAAAACCTAAAAGTTGGTTTGTTCCTAAATTATAGTCTCATCGTTTATATAAATATGAAAGGTGACAAATTTTTATCAAAAGCAGTTTACTATTACTGTATTCATAGAATGTCAATCATAGTGAAAAAAATTCAGAACCCGTTAGTGGAATACCATACACCACTATCGATAGTAACAGACATGCACATATGCATCCATCTATGTGTTGTTTGCAATCTTTCAACAGACTTCGTCATCATTAATTTTCGTATATATGGTAAGTGGTTAGCTAGCAGTATTATACAGGACGTGTATTTCGTCCTGCTTGAAATTTTTCAACTGGATGCACCTGTACTCCAGTGTTCATGTTTACGCTGGAATTCAAACTCAGTACTTTTCACTTCGAAAGCCCAACGCGTTAACCGCTGAGTCAAAATATTCACTAACCTGTTGAACGGAAACGAAGGTTCCCACATCATTTTATTATTATCCTTTGTAGATTCCCTTTCATTTTGTTTTGTCGTATCCAACGTGCAAATTGCTGTACTCTATTGACTATTTTGTGTTAGTTATAGCCATTTATATAAATTCAGAATGTAGCGCAATGATAATATTTACAATAAATAATCATAATAATACATTATAAAAGGTTTATAGAAATACTAAAACAAATAAATATAACCAATCTCTTTTCGAGCTTTATTTGTCTAAAAACCAATACCTAACTTTATATAGTGCGAGTGGATTTATACAGTCACCGAAAGAAATCACATTTGCAGTCATATATTTATTTGGCGTATAACATGAATTACCACCGTATACAGACAGACCAACATAAGTGTAGTTTTGTATGTCAGTCAGTCACAATGCAGAACCTGGTACGTATGTACATCGGTTCAAGTTGTCATATCCCATTAGTAAAGATGAAATTTTCAGGCTAAATCCCAGAATAGTAGAGGTAGGTAGTAACAGTATCAGTCGTAATAGAAAAGATTGTACATCGAAGATACAATTCAGGAAAATATAAATAAGTAAAATAGAAGAATCTTGTATAAAAAAAAATAAAAATACCGAATATAAAACAATACTGTATCATGATATACCTTTGTTTCACTACCAGGAACTATCAGTTCGATTTGAACATCATAGGACTGTCTAGAATTAGCATGCATAAGAACACGTCCATTAAGTGACTGACCTTCTTGAACGAATAATGGTGTTCCCATAAGACAACGCACCTAATTGAATGTAAGATGATAATAATGATAAATTATCGTTCTGGCATTTTTAAAGATTTGTGGAATTGAAGCATTTTTGTGACAAGAAAAGTTAACTAACACATATATGAGTTCAAAAAAGTATAAAACCCTTTAGTATTTAAATAAAAATTTACTATCCACACTCAATTTGACAATAAAAGGCGATGGGTGCATCGAATCTGTAGGTTTACGATCTATATATACATACAGAAAACTATGCTAGCTATATATCAATTTAAAGAATTATTATCTAACAATCTGGACTGTGTGGCGAGCCCTTACATGGAATCTTCAAGGCCAAAGGAAAAGAGGAAGACCAAAGAACATATTACGCCGAGAAGTGGAGACAGACATAAGAATGAACAACAATTGGATAGAACTAGGAAGGAAGGCCCAGGACAGAGAGAGTTTGGAGAATGCTAGTCGGCGGCCTATGCTCCATTGGGTGTAACAGGCGTAGGTAATCTGGACTGTGTAAATTTCCTTATAGGCATTTTATTCAAGATAGACACTACATGTATGTATTTCTCCTGAAATCTTCCTCTAAATCGTGAATACTTAGCGATTAAAACTTTTCGTTTCCCTGTTTTTTATCATTGTTGTTCGTACTAGAAATAAAGAAAACATTTTACTCCTAATAGTGTAACCTTTTCTCTGACTGAACTCTTTTTTCTTTTACCGATTACAAATTGTAATAACTATAAACGGTATATATTTTGCACCAAAATTTATAATCTTTCTAAGTTGTTTACGCCTATTTTACTTGCTATTGTATTATGGATATCACTGAATATATTGTGTGCAATCTCACTATTTGTTGGAGATGTTAGATCCCCAGAATTCACTTGGTAAATACCTTTTTTTGTAATTTTATTTTAAAAAGTTGAATTCCTTGTTTTCGCGCCGAAAGCGCCCATTTTTAAGTTCATTTCGTATTTCCCACTTGGGGAAATCTTAAACACTATTGGTTCGTTGTATCTCTTAGTATGCCATTTTGTAACGCTTCCGAATGACAATTTTTTGCCCGTCGTAATTGCTCGTGCTTCTGGCTGTTTGTGGAATATATTTCCCCGTTTAGAACATGGACTTCTCTCTCTAATTAGCGGAGCTGGAACGCATCAGAGTAGCTAGCTTATTGGTCTTTGGTCCGTTTATAGACTAGGTGAATTCGTAATCGTTTCAAACATATCACTGTTTTGTAACTTTGCTTTTTCCTAATCCGTAAATAATAGCGAATGCACACTGTTATCACTCAAATTATACGGAATGCAATTGGTTTTCACGTTAACTGAACATATGTATACAATATGAAACACCAGATCGAACATATCACCAAATCAAACTCAATGATTATACTAACCCATTTTCTCTTTAAGCTAAATACTGTTGTGCATTTGTCTGGACAACAGTGGGAAAATTATTTTCTATAAATGAACCTCCGTGTCGAGAAGGTATAGAAAACTGACAAACGTAATGCGCACACATATAAAGAATAAAATTTGCTAAAACTTATGATAAATTTCTTTTGTCTTACTTGATACCAATGAGTAAGTGGTTCAGTTGGTGCAGTTGACAACCATACATCTCGCTGAGAACCTAAGAAACCAACATCAAACCAAAATGCAAGGCCATGGATCTGGATTTGTACCGAACAATATAGAATAAATGGGAAAAAGAAGTGTAAAAGTTACAATCAGCTATAGAATAAGTTAGTATTTAAAAACATTTACAGTCCAATATGTAGGAGGATGACTACGATAATTCATATTTCCGTTTACACGCTAAGATGAGATCGAATGGAGCACAGTTTCCATGTTGTGATTGGTCTTAAACGGTGACGAGTTCTAATCTCTCAATAACCCTTGCATTTGCGTGAGTGGTATATTACAATCTATTTTAATACATATTTTTTTAATCAGCTTTAATAAAAACTATTCGCTTGCTTTACAAAATGGATGCATCGGTTATGCAAACGATTCTTCAAACTTAATAATGCAAATTAGTTTTGTTTATTTCAAATAATTTCACTAAATTTATATTTACTTGAACGCATAAATATTGGTACAAGGGGGTACCGTATATGTATGCGCCACACAAATCACTTGATTTGTTTAAAGGCTGTGATACTGCCCGGGTGCTCAGACCGAAGCAGGTGGTTTTCTTAGGGGGCCACACCCCGGACCTTCGACCTAAAGGTCTCATCCACAAGGCAGTGGAGCAACGAAAGGAGATACAGTTTGATGGTAGCCAGTGACCAACAATAGGTTCAACACCATTTGTTCCTGCAGGATCCTGGAGCCCATGTGCATTATTGGTTTGGAATCACGGTTTTCCAACCCTTCTAGGTGGGTCTTCCATATCCACAAACCTGGTTAAAGCGCCGGATATTCGCTTTTCGTCCTCTCAATTCTGTAAACAACAGTAATGCCGTGAGAAGGCAGTGAGTAGAACTTCCCTGGCAGAGGCTATGGTACGCGTGGCCATGTGAGAGCATTTGGAGAGGGTGAGCTGACTCTTACCACCCTCGGTCATACCAAGGTATAATTAATACACATGTTATCCATCATACGATCCATTTGACTTATTGTCGCCACCATTTTTAACGAACTGTTACCACATTCGATGAGCTCCTTGAAAACGTATATTGAAAATGATAAATCCCTATAATAAGTGAGATTTGATGAATTTAAAAGATCTTTTCGTTGAAAGGAATTAATCATAAGCTACTTTGTTTTCTATCTAATGATTCAAATATTTAATATTCAATTAATGAATCATAAATTTAGACCAACTTTTATCTGATAACGAAATTTTGGACAATTGAAAAGAGTACCGTTATTAGCGATTATTCGATAGGTTTAACTGAGAAACTGACGTACAGATTACATTCAATTACAGTTATTTTTAACATACCAAAAATTTTTCACACAATGACATTTTGTAGTGATTTTATTTATATCATTAAAAAAAAACGAAAGAAAATTTACATCTAATAATTGAATTCATGAGTCAATTGAAGCTAGACCACCATAGAAAACCTGGAAACACTGGACGGCCGTTTCATTCTAACTTCATCTAACTTCAATTGACTTATGAATTCAATTATTAAATTACTAAAATCTCCACAAAACGCATCTTTGATCAAAATTTACATCATTCAATTCATCAAATATATCTTATAATAATGTCGTATTATGATGTAGTGTAAGTTTAAATCAGTTTTGAAAATGTATAAAACCATAAACTGATGTAGACTAAAATATAAAGCTTATACGAAGTTACGTGAGTCAATATAGATGAGACTATTTAGCATATTTATGAATTACACTATTATTGATCAATTCTAGTTAATTATAAGGTAGTAACGTAAACTCAATAAATTTCTTTAACCACATTGAATTAAATATTTTAATACAACAGTGTTTAAGAGATCCTAAATGTTTTTGGTGGAGTTTTGTTCTCTGAGCGCAGAGAACAAAACTCCACCAAAATCATCCACGTGAGCTACAAATCTTCTCCACCATCTCAAGATCCTAAATGTGTTCTCTGAATTATTTTTCATTGATGTACTGAAACACATACTTTCGATCAAAGAATGTGCATACCATAGGGACTTGGGTTATTTTTTACAGCAAACAGTAATAAGAAAAGATTATAAACATACAAAGACACTTTATTATTTAAACCAATGAAAAACGGAACAAGAACTTACTGTACAACAGGTTGTAATTTGATAATTTAGAGGAATATCGATTGAACTTAGTTCGGATTCGGATACAGTACGGAAATCCACTTTGTGTATACACGGTAGTGCTGGACAAATACCAATATCAAAAGTGTCGACTATAGGTTGATTGAAGTATTCCGTAACGGCAGCATTACGTAGAGCAGTTAGATCCATGCCATGAAAACTCTGGTTTGGGGAGAAGTATGTGTAATTAAAAAGCCGGTGAAAACATTAACGACTATGTAATGTAATGGTATACTTTGGAGAGTGAAGACAATATTAATAGGATTTGGATTAGAGTTGACTATTAATACTATCAATCACTAAATACACTGAGTAGTATTATCAAGAGTTATAAAATAAAAATTAGAAACAGTATATTAATAACCAACGCAAACATGCAATGCCCCAATATATATGTTTTTTAATACAAATTGTACTCTATATATCTTAACATCACACAGATGAAACTGGTGAATAGAAGTAAGAAATGAAATTGTAACGAAAAGATAATGAATGGTGACAACAATATTCTTTCTAACTGGACTCATTTTTAACACTTGCACACACAGGATTAAAACCTAAGACGAATTGCTTACTCCACATTATGAAATAAATCTAACTTTATTACTAACGGGTGAGTTATTCATTTTCATCTAGGTTTACTGTCGGTCCCAAAACAACACAAAAGATGAGGGTTGGGCATAGTGTCAGCAACCCCATCCCGTAGAAAACAACCTTGCGGAAAAACCATAACCAGAAAACACAATTGCAATTCTGCCCTCCGAGTTGAACGATCTTCATTCAGAATGCCTCATAGTTAAAGCCGAGATTCTTTGGAAGTCCTGAGAACAAGGAGACTGCAAATAATAACAGCTGAACAAGAGCAGATGATGTCAAGGCATACACCGTATACACTGAAGCAAACAAACAAGTGACGAAGAGCATGAGAGCTGATAAGCAGAAATGTGTGGAAGACCTAGCAAAGACAGCAGAACAAGCTGCAACAGAAGGAAACACCAAACAACTTTATGACACGAAAAAGAAACGAGCAGAGAAATGTAGTAAACCAGAGAGACCGATCAAGGACAAAGAAGGCAAGACAATCACCGAGATTCAAGAAAAGAAGAACACGTGGGTAGGACACTATGAAGAACTCGTAAATAGGCCAGCCCCATTGGACCCGTCAGACATCGAAGCAGCACATACAGATACTCCTACAACAGTTACTCGACCCAAGATTGAAGGAGTCAGTACGGCCATCAAGCAAATCATGTATTGGAAAACGGCACGACCAGAAAACATACCAGCTGATGCACTGAAGTCAGATATGGAAGCGACTGCAAACATGTTTGACATTCTACTCAGAAAGATTTGGGAGGAAGAACAAGTGCCGACAGACTGGATAACTCATCATGGTACCAGAGGAAGGAAATCTGAGCAAGTGTAGGAACTACAGAGGCATCACACTACTACCAGTATCAGGAAACGTTTACAACAGTGTTGTTAAACCGAGTGGAAGTTTCGGTAGACGCCCAACTTTGAAATCGACAGGCTGGATTCCGTAAGAATCAGTCGTGCGTCGACCAATGGAATTCGTCAGTATACATCAAATTCCTTGAATGAGAAAGCGTTTGATAGCGTGAATTGAAGAACATTATGGAACCATCCTCGATACTATGGTGTGTTTGAGATTATCTTCAACATCATACGGAATTCATACGATGAACTACACTGTGAAATCATGTATGGGAGACAGCTGACAGACGCATTACGAGTGAACACCGACGTTAGACAAGGCTGCTTACTCTCGCTCTTTCTCTTCCTTCTAGTGGTTGACTGGGTTATGAAGACCTCTACATCTGAGGAAAAGCACGGAATACAATAGACAGCTTGCATGCAACGAGACAACTTGGACTTTGCAGATGACCTAGCTCTTCTGTCTCATACACACCAACAAATGCAGGTGAAGACAACCAGTGTACCAGTAGTCTCTGCATCAGTAGGCCTCAACGCACACAAGGGAGAAAGCAAGGTTCTCGAATGCAACACGGAAAACACCAACCCAATCACACTTGATGGAGAAGTTCTAGAAGAGATGGAAGTCTTCACGTATCTGGACAGCATCATCGATTAACAGGGAGGATCAAACGCAGATGTAAAGGCGAGGATCGGCAAAGCGAGGACAGAATTTCTACAGTTGAAGAACACGTGGAACTAAAAACAACTGTCAATCAACATCACAGTCAGAATCTGCAATACGAACGTCAAGACAGTTCTAATGTATGGGGCTGGAACTTGTAGGACTACGACAGCCATCATCAAAAAATACAGGTATTTCTAAATAGCTACCTGCGCAAGATACTCAGTGTCCGTTGACCGGGTACCACCAACAACGATCAACTGGAGGAAAGAACAAACCAGCTTCCAGCTGAAGAGGAAATTAAGAAAAAACGCTGGAAGTGGATAGGACATACATTGTGGAAATCAAACCGCATCACGAGGGAAGCACTAACTTGGAATCCTGAAGGAGAACGGAGAAGAGGAAGACCAAAGAACACACTGAGTCGGGAATCGGAAGCAGACATCAAGAGGATGAACAACAACTAGAATGGATTGTCCAGGACAAAGTTTAGTTAAGGATGCTGGTGGGCGGCATATGCTCTTGCAAGAGGGGTAACAGGCGTTAGTAAATCATGGAGTTTGCAAAAAATTGTCTATTCGTTACTGTGAAATCGTGATCAGTTTGCTTATTGATACTACCCAACCTCGTTATCTGAACTGGATTTTATTGGATTTACTTTATTGCAAAACAAATCAGTTGAAGAGCGACAAGACTTAAATAACTGAATTACATGAACGATGTAATAAAGCTGACTCTCAGTGTAGCGATAACTACTCGGAGAGATTAAAAACACCAAACCTAGAAAGTAGAATAACCACGCACTTTCCAAAGTTTGAGCAATCAAGGAGTTCATTTTCTGTGCAACTCCATTTGAATAACTGCCGACCCTATTTTTATTTAGTCACTCATGCTTGATGACCACTTCTGATGCTTCGAGCTTTCGAGATGCTAAATCTAGACTCCTGAAAACGCCATCCAAGCCACATACGGACAAACAGTATCGTTCCCGACCGTTGTTGCTACCTTGACGTGGTGGTCAGGCTTGCCTAGCGTGGTGAAGCAACCGAGCTATACTGACTGGAACAACCGTTCCTCAAGGTCCTACCATGCCAGACAGGTCGGTTGAAGAGCGGTAAGACTAAAAGCAACAAAACCAAAGTCCGAAGGCGAAGTCGTACTGCTGACTGTACACAGGTGTGACAGCAGTAAGGTGTTTCCTTCAGACAACCATCATGACAGCGATGCTGCCTTCCCACAAGGAGGGATGGGGTTAGAAAAGGTTGACCCTAAAAATGCACATCTCGCCTTATCCCACGGATATCCGTCTCCGGCGGTAAGGTCTCAACAAGTACGGAGCTAACACAAAAATTACCCATAAAAAGGTCGTGTGTGACCGACCTCAAGCAGTTGTCCCTTGGGCACCGTGGTCACGCTCTTAAGTCACTAAGACCACCTTTAATCCAATTTCCTTTTCAGGTACCTCCAGAACAACCCTTCCACAGTGTGGGCAACCGGGAAGTGATAACCGCCCTCATACCTCTAACAGCACTCAAGACCACTGTATTCATAATCAACCTCCGTCTTCACTTCCTATTATTCCTCCTACATTGACTTTCACCTCTAAACTTCCTTTTTCGGCTTCCTCCTCAAGTGTCACCACAGCCAACGATTCTAGTGCCTAAAACACTGTCCAAGGTCTACCGAAACCTCGCCCCACACTACACATTGGAGCCTTTAACGTACGCACCCTATGTCAAATCGGTCGACAGGCTTCTCTGGCTGTTGGGTTAAACGGCTTCGTAAGAACTCGGAAGGATAGACACACGTCGTTGCCTTTTTGTCGTTTCTGCCTACGCTCCCACCGACTGCAGCTCAGATGAAGTGAAAGATGAATTTTACAGAAAGCTATCTGAACTTCTTCAGAAAGCTAAACGTCCAGACATAGTACTCGTAGCAGGTGACTTTAATGCCCAGATAGATAGTTTAAACTAAACAGAAAGGCATTTAGGTGGGTATTTTAGTATTCCGGCACAACGAACAGATAATGGTGATCGTCTGCTGCAACTGTGCTCAGACAATCGTTTATTTTTAGCAAACACAAATTTTAAGCATAAGGAGAGACATCGTCTAACATGGCGACCCCCTACACCAAACCAATGATGGACTCAAATAGACCATATTGCCATCGGTCATGGTTGGAGAGGGTCGGTAGAAGATTGTCGCTCATTCTGGAGTACCTGTTTGGACTCCGACCATGTCTTAATACGGGCACCCATCTGCTTGCGCCTCACCGGACGCAAAAATGCCACACTAAAATTTTATTTATTTATTTATTTGAACACATATATATTGGCACAGGAGTGCGCCAAATATATATGCGCCACACAAAACAATGAGAATTTAAGAAGAAAAAGAAAAAAAAGTGGGGAACGTACAAAAAAAACAATAACGAAGAGATTGGTGTAAGGTAGTGTAATAATAATAGTAATAGTAGGGGAACAGAAGGGTACAATCAGAAGAAATCTTTCACTTAAGGAAGATACAACCACTTTTTACGAAGTAAAAGAAGGTTACAGCAGGATCGCCACTGGCTTCTATTCTGAGCCATATCTGATAACGTTTATAGCCACTGTGTAGCACCATCTCTCAGACCCCAACCAGGGAGTCGTGAAGGACCAACACAAGCCAGTCCTTTGCAGCTTTCTTTCATACCACGACACCATGTCATATACTGACCACCTCTCCGCTTTCTCCAACCAGTCCCAGAGTCGGCAAATAATGCATGGCGTGGAATTCTCTGGGACGACATTCGGAGAACATGTCCAAGCCACCGAAGTCGGTGTTTCAAGATGGTGACACCAATTGCATTATCGTCTGTGCTCCCGAACACACGATGCCGAACTTCTGCATTACTGACATGGTGTTGCCACTGGATGTCAGCAATCCTTCGGAGACAGCGATGATCGAACACAGAGTCGTCTAACGTACTCAACTCGGAGAGACCAGGTTTCACAAGCATAGAGCAAAACTGCTCTCACTGATGCGTAGTAGATCCGACCTT